CTAAGCTGGGCTACTTAGGGACCACTTTGGCCAGTGTGCTGTGGAAGAGCTACTTTGGGCTACTCAGGGACCACTTTGGTGAGTGTGGTGTGGAAGAGCTACTGTTGGCTACTCAGGGACCACTTTGGCCAGTGTGCTGTGGAAGAGCTAAGTCGCGCTACTCAGGGACCACTTTGGCCAGTGTGCTGTGGAAGAGCTAAATTGCGCTACTCAGGGACCACTTTGGCCAGTGTGCTATGGGAGATCTAAGTTGGGCTTCTTTGGCCAGTGTGCTGCGGAAGAGCTAAGTTGCGTTACTTAGGGACCACTTTGGCCAGTGTGCTGTGGAAGATCTAAGTTGGGCTATTCAGGGACCACTTTGGCCTAAGTTGCGCTACTCAGGGACCACTTTGGCCAGTGTGCTGTGGAAAAGCTAAGTTGCGCTAGTCAGGGACCTCTTTGGCCAGTGTGCTATGGAAGATCTAAGTTGGGCTACTCAGGGACCACTTTGGTGAGTGTGCTATGGAAGAGCTAAGTTGGGCTACTCAGGGACCACTTTGGCCAGTGTGCTGTGGAAGAGCTACTTTGGGCTACTCAGGGACCACTTTGGTGAGGGACCACTTTGGTGAGTGTGCTGTGCCACTTTGGCCAGTGTGTTGTGGAAGAGCTAAGTTGGGCTACCGGGCGTGCTGAAGTCCAAAGTTCCAAAAATCTAACAACCCCACAGTCCTACGGGTGGGAAAAAATCTGAGCATCCACGCGCAAGTTGTGAAGTGCTCTGCCAGCAGCTTCGCCCGCGCCAACGGCAACAGCCGCCACCGAAAAAAAAAAAAAAAAAAAACGGCTTGATAAGTACATTACAACTCTACAACTATCCTGGGATCACTTCGGTAAATGTGCTGTGGAAGAGCTACGTTGCGCTACTCAGGGATCACTTTGGCCAGTGTGCTGTGGAAGAGCTAAGTTGCGCTACTCAGGGATCACTTTGGCCAGTGTGCTGTGGAAGAGCTAAGTTGGGCTACCGGGCGTACTGAAGTCCAAAGTTCTAAAAATCTAACAACCCCACAGTCCTACGGGTGGGGAAAAAGATGCAAAAGCATCCCTATGACTCCAAGGGTTACACACACACACACGCGCACAACCCCGACAACACGAGTACAACACGAGTACAACACGTCTCCCCAGCCAGTTTCTCGACCCGGGGATCCCACCAGTGTCCTACTAGTGGTCCGACATGACAGCATGCTTCATTATTTACTGCTACCTGACCAGCTACCCCACATTTCTTCCTAGCTATCTTACCACCTACCCCACTGACCCCTGGAAATACAGGAAACACCGTTCATGTCACCAGGCTTTCATACAAAAAACGGCGAAGTCTCTCCGAGATGCGCATAGTATTTCTTCCAAAAGTCCACCGGCTCCCAGATTAACGGCATCGGTATCTTTGTGAAGACCGGTCTTTTACCTGACAGTGCTTTTATACCGCTCTTAGGTTGGAGGCCATCGCTATTAGGCAAAAGCATCAAAGTCTGGATCGGAACTGCAATTCTCATATCTGTCAAAGGCACTGCCGAGCGCATGGCGGTAGGAATAATCCACCAAGCTGGAACCTTGGCGCAAACCACTACTTGCACTTTAGTGTTGATAACAAAACAACAATGTGAATGCTCTCTTTTGACATTCCAAACGAGTGAAACAACGAGTTTCTGCATGCTGTGAAATCTGTCTTGCATATCTCAAGCAGCAGTAGTACTTGTCTTCCATCTCTGGAGGCTGGCACGGAGACTGTGCACTGTGAACCGCTTCAAGGAAGCTCCCACCCGCCCTCAGGCGGGGGAGCTTCGAAGAAGCGTGAGCTTTTTTTCGTGTCCAGTAGGTAGTAGGTAGTAGGTTCGCTTTTGCAAAGCTTACTAGCTATCATTTACTAGCATTAGCTTACTCATCTATTTCACCTCTTAGCGGCTTCCCCTTCCGTTTAAAAGAACACTATAAAACTATACAAGTATCACACATCTTAACACGGAGAGCGTCCGTTGCGTCACGTGGTCGAAGTGTCTGTCATCGAATCGTCGAGTCCATAAGACTATTTTGGTCGTCTGTAGTCATTTTTGTTTTTCTATTTTGCTCTGAGACGAAAACTAAATTCCATACACAATGCTGAAGAAATTGTTAACGATATAATCTGTTCGTAATTAATGATAAAGGATGATCCCCACTTGAAGATCTCAGATCTACATGGATCTGGACTCAATTGTCCTTGGTTCTTTGCAAAGAAGGAAGGTTACAAAAAATATGTTTAAAAAATGATTGAAAACAGACTCGCTGACCTACACGGTCGTTGTTACACGGTCACCACGCCTCGAAGTTGAAGGCATAAGGACGGCCGAGTTTGCTCACTGCAAAATCTGTGGCCCCTTGGCGCACCTCCTGGAAGGTATCGCTACTAGAAACAAGTGCCTTACTAGTAGTAACAATGTTTGCTATTAGAACAAATTGTCGAAAATGCGTAAAAAATGAACGGTTTCTCGCCTTCGAACATCTTAGGAATGTTTTCACTACTTTCTAGATTCTAGAACTTGCTTTTCACAGAAAACGGCTCGTGTTTTTGCCTTTCAATCTCTTCAGGATTTGCAGCTGAGCGGCTTCATCAACGTTAACTTCCTAAGTTGTTCAACGACTTAACGTTTGAACTCCTAAACTCACAAGTGACCCAAAGGAGAGCCCAGTGTTCACATCCAAGACGCGCCCACGAAGAAGGTCGTGGTTCCTGGATATGAAGACCTGAAGAGCAAGGCTGATCCATCTGCCTCCAACCTACTAGCGATGGCCTCCCACAGAAATGTCCAAGCCCTTTCCTCAGGGTCCGAATCAAAGTCATTGAAATATTCTTTTAGTTCCAAAAGTTCCGCTGAATTTCTTAGATTTTCCCTGGCAAGATACAACCAATTCTGGAGCTTCCACTGCTGCACACCATCTTCTTGTGCCTTGGCAATTTATGGATCACAGACCAAAAAGTAATGCATGTCTGCCTCTAGCGGACGATCCAAGTCACATCAATCACGGAGTCAGCATCTAAAGCCATGGCGACGTGCATGGAAGTGTCATTGTGTGACACCTGAGTTCCTTGGATTCAAGTAGCACAGCAAGCTTCACAACAAGCTTCACAAGCTGCACAGCTGCTACAAGTTTCCCCCGCTTCTTGGAATTACTTTACTTCGGGTGATCCCCACCATGACATTTCAATTGCCATACTGTCTGACATGCTTGTGATTGGGTGTTTGTGGCTGTGTTTGTGGCTGTGTTTGTGGCTGTGTTTGTGGCTTTGTGCTTGTGATTGTGTTTGTGGCTGTGCTTGTGGTTGTGTGCTTGTGGTTGTGTGTTTGTCATTGTGCGTTTGTGGTCATGTTGTGTGGTTGTGTGTTGTGTGCTGTGGTCCGGGGTGTGTCCACTGCGATCTGGCACTTGCTGTTGAGGTCCGATAGTGTCCACTGCGATCTACCACTTACTGTAACTTGCTGGCGAGGAGGAGGAGAACTTTGATAAAATCTAACAAAGCTCACCTGACAAGTTGAGAAAAAAGTCAAAGAAGCAGTCTTAAGCTGGAGGCCATCGCTAGCAAGTTGGAGGCCATCGCTGCAGCTGCTTAAGCTGTTTCGTTGGACCGCAGCCGAGCAGCCATGTGTTCGAAGCCATCGAATGGTGGCTGCACCTGTCGCCTGTGTCAGGCAGTATCCAGCTTAACCAGGCTTGAAGAACAAAGGACAAGGCTTTGCTGGAAGTTGGAACATGACCTCTAATGACCTATGAATTGGTTTGGATGGCTCTACAATTAATCCGAAGCTCTCTCTCTCTCTCTGCGATTTGTCACAACAGGGAATCCCACCTGGATTGCCGACGAGAGCGGATCAGAAACGTTTACAGGCCTCAAAGCGCTTTTGTGGCACAATCGAGCAGCTTGCGTGTTTACTCGATCCAAATGCCCATTTCCTGAAATTGAAATCTTCTGCAAAAGTAACTAGAAGGCTTCCTTGGGAATCGTTAAGTTTCACCAAAAATCTAGGAACTAAATCATTAGTCCGAGCGCTTCTTCAAGGAAGCTTCCCCCACCCTCAGGCAGGAGGAGGTTCTGTGAAGAAGCGTGACCGTGAGCTATCCTGCGTCCATATGTAGTAGCAACTTGCAGGTACTAGCTACCGTTTGCTCCTACTAGCTACCTCTAGCTACCTAGCCTCCTCCTAGCGGCCTACCCCACCTGGCGCGCGCGCGCGTCAGAAACTGCAGGTTTGAGCTCCCGAGCTCATAAGCAAATAGAAGATCTCCTGTGCGAATGGCCTCCGAAAACAACTGAACAAATGTATATAAACAAAGTCTAAGTTTAAAAAAGAAACAAATGAAGCCGAAGCCCGAGCCGAAGCCACACACTTCACCAGAAAGCTTGCAAAAGTGTGTCCTTCGATACAACCTCCACTATCCACACAATGCGGTTTCCAGTCTTAGCCTGTGTAGCAACGGCCAAGCTCCCAAGCAAAGCTGCCAAGGGCGACATCCCAATGGCGTACACGAAGCTAGTGGGTCTCCTCAGATGGTCTTATCATACATGAGGAGCTCTTAACTTAGCAACCCGTGTTGAAAGTACTGGCACTTCTTGCGTGCTGCTTGCTAAATGCTTGAGCTTTGGAAAAAATGTGCTGCGCGTCATGTGTGACCTCAAGCCCAAACATGTGCTGACTCAAGCGAACAAGCGAATTATCCTAGTAGCTGCTTGTTACTCGTAGTATGGCCAGGAGCTACTAGTAGCGTCCTTGCTCCTAGTAGCGATGCCCTTTGCTACTAGTAGCTTCTTGTTAGGTATCTGTTCATTCTTTCCAATCATCTGATAAAGAATATTATGCGTATTGTCATGACAAACAATCGATACACATGTTGCCTTCTGCTGACACTCACATGTTGTCATAACATACCCAGATTGACCATCAGGCCACCAGTCCACATGCAGCTGTGCAAACTGAGCTGCCTGCAGTCCTTGCTAGAAAATCCTAACATGAGTGACTCAATCTCAAGTTCTGGAGATGTAAATCACTCAACACTTCAGACAAGGGCCTTTTCTAAATGAAAGGCAAAGAAACACCCAAAACAAGCTCTAAGTACCAGCAGTACCCAAAGGGTGTATTTTGATGGAACATGCCTAGTCAATTGGGCATCATTGAAATTCAAACACATCGAGTGGCCCGTTTTGTGTTGGCATTTCGGGTGTTTGTGAACGACTCAACAAGTCCGCAGAAACCCTTCATTGCCATGCGATTGCCGAAGAGGTTCATGTGACAAATACAGCAGATACTAGTAGCACTAGGGAAGCTACTAGTAGCTTCTTGTTACAACTAGTAAGGCACTTGTTACTAGAAGCGATGCACTTGTTCCTGGTAGAATACGCTCTTAGGGCAAGGTGCTGTTGAAGCTGCGCAACATACGCTTGTGCTTTTGTTGCTTGAAACCAATGCAGCTGCTTCAGGGTTCTCGAAGTGATTCGTGGCCACGGCTGCTGCGCCGCAGAATGCTGCCAGTTTACGGCGAAACGATTGGAAAGACCCTGAAGTAACACTTCATATATTTTGAGTGAGATGACGCCCTCATCTCACTTATGATATTCTGCCATGAAATTACATTTTGCGGGCTAACCTCCAAATAAAATGTGCTGAAGTCATGCCGAAAGAAACGTCTAAACACTAAACAAGCAACAGTTAAAAGAACAATAACGAACGATCAAAAAGTCTAAGGACAAGAAAGAAGGGAAGGAAAAAAAAAGGATAAAAAGGAAAAAGTTCTGACAACAACTTGACTGGTGGATTCCCCTACTAGGTGCCCTTTTTGAGACTTTTGAGACGTAGACTGATTTCTCCACCAACCAGTCCAGAGTGCTTCGACGGGGCGGCTTTGGGGATACATTGCGACTAGTAGCAATGGCTTCCAACCTAGAAGCGATGGCCTCCAACCTAGTAGCTATGGCCTCCACCTAATAGCGATTTCCTCCACCCACTCAACGAAACATAACGGAACTACTCAAAATGCATGTATTAAAAACACAATCGGGCTGCAATGCTTACGAAGCATGGCACGTTAGCCCATTCTGCAGAATGACAAAGATGGTGAATGGACTAACGCCGTCCTTGCCCCAGGCATTGTTCCGAAGAAGGAACGAGCCGCTGTTCAGCCTCAGAACAGCAAGTCCATGCAGACGCCACTGCTGCCACTTCAGTCTTGGTCCAAAACCCATGAATGCTGATCCACTGGGATTTGCTCTACATTCTCACGGCAAGCAAGGCCAAAGAAAGCAAGAAAGAAGTTGCCTGAAAGAAGCATTGCTAAAGAATGCCAGAGCAAGTCTCTCTTGTCAAGTCTCATACATTGCCGCTTCCTGGCTCCCGGGCATCATTCCATCCTCCGCAATCAGCAGCGAGGCTTCAGGTGTCCTGGCGGAAGATACGGCTGGATACGGGACATCTCAAAGATTGGATGCCACCTTTCCACCCTACACCCTACTAGTAACAAGAAGCTACCCAGGGCTCCTGGCCTTACTACTAGGAGCAAGAAGCTACCAGCAATGGCCTCCAACCCACCTGTCCACTCTGTTCATAATATGCTTCATCCAGTTGCGCGCCATGTCCTTTTCACATGATGATACAACTAGGATCTGCGAGATACAAACAAAGAACACACTTCATCGTCTAGAACTTATTTTATTGTGTAATTAGTAATTACCATATTTGCATTTTTACAATTACATATCTTAACGTCAACACTGTGACCCTCACACGTCAAAGAAAAGATAAGCAGCTAAGCTTGTGCCCAATGTTGCTGTTTCACCGCGCCTGCTGAAGGCTGCATGGATCAGCGCATCTACCGTCTTCCTTAGCTTGTCAATTTTGAAGCACACGCACGTAGCAAAGAAAGCCGAGGAAAGAAAGGAAAGAAAAAAAAGAAGGGTCTAAAGGTCTCAAAGCGAAATGGTAAAGAGGGGAAGGAAGAGCCAAATCAAAGGTCCCGGCTCTGGATTCATGAAGAAAAGATCGCAGTCCACCCAAAATAGCCAGTCATAGTCCTGCGATACACGACTGGCCATGTTCGGAGTGGAAAGGAAAAGAAGACAGAATTGACAGCTCCTGTAGGTTCCTCTGAATAGCGATCAATTTGTTCATCCAAGGATGTGCCTTGAAAGAAAAAGCGTGAGGATTCGCAGAGTGCAATCTACTAGGAACAAGTGCCACGCTAGTAGTAACAGGTGCCTTACTAGTAGTAACAAGAAGCTACTAGGAACAAGTGCCTTACTACTAGTAACAATAAGAATGTAATTCGAATTGTAATTAAAAGTTAAATTAATAGCTTCTTGTTACTACTAGTAAGGCACTTGCTCCTAGTAGCGTGGCACCTGTTACTACTAGCTTCTTTTTACTACCAGTAAGGCACTTGTTACTAGTAGCGATGCACTTGTAATTACTAGCAAAGAATTCGTATCCGCAGGGACCGGTCGGCGGGCTACCTGCTTGGAAGGACGCTACGAACGGGGCGTCCTTGCTCCTAGTAGTACGGCCAGGAGCTACTAGTAGCGTCCTTGCTCCGTTCGTAGCGATGCCCTTTGCTGCTTGGAAGGTCTGTACCCTCTTGGCAAATCTTTTGAAGTTGGAAGACGTGTCACCGCTGCGAAAAGCCTGCGTCACGAAGGGATCTTCAATGTGCAATAGCCTTAGCTTGCCATGTTGGCCTTGAGCAGTTCAACGTTTCACAGGTCTCCAAGAAACCACAAAGAATCTGAGGTAAACACACCTAAACTTAAACCCATGAAAGAAAATGGCAAACAGCACTTCTCAAATTTCAAGTTGAAGGTAACAACTTCAGGGTCGAGGCGCTTGTAGCCGTGCCTTTTCGCATAGGCACCTTCAAGTCAATAGAACCAACTCAGTTTGCTCAGATTGGAACGTTTCTATTTACCAAAAGAACTTCATCACGGTCTCATTTCAAGAAGTGTGTACCATGATCTTGGCGCCATGCCTTTGCTGCTCCGTGACTGTGCTGTCAGATTCGTGGCACCTGCATTAGCAAAACAGTTGCGCTGCTCTTGAGTACATCAGAAAAATTGTTGAAGAAATCAGACTCTGAACTCACTTCAGACCCACCAATTGAGTTACTGTGAGTAGTTGGATGACAAACAGGAAACCTTGAGCGGGCAGCACATCCCTCGCTTTTCTGCAGAAAATAGATCAGCTGTACATCTTCTGAGCGTCGCTAGACTGTCCACCAGCTGTGTAAGATGTAAGAATGTGAAGTGATTTCGCCTGTTTGATTCGGTAGTAACAGGTGCCTTACTAGTAGTAACAAGAACGCTACTAGGAACAAGTGCCACGCTACTAGGAACAAGTGCCTTACTAGTAGTAACAAGTGCCTTACTACTAGGAACAAGTGCCTTACTACTAGGAACAAGTGCCTTACTACTTGTGAAGTGATTTTGCCTAAAAACAACTCCTCTTCGGCTCCATCACAGCTCCGTCTTGGCACGCACCCCCATCCATTTTCGCTGCAAATGCGACTTGTAGGTGATGGCCTGAAAAAGTGTAAAACGTTGGGAAACGGTCAACCAGCATCTTGACCTACATTTCGTGAAGTAACAATCATGACTTTTATCGAATATCTTAAAGCATCTCAAGAAAAAATGCTGGAAGAACGCTATGGAAGCCGCGCACCCGTTCAGTTGTTGCCTTTTCGCTTCCGGTTGCTCCCCGAGAAGTGTCTATGGCCAACCGCTGCCTACGCCTGTGGTTCATGTTGGTTCTCTGCCTCCTCCAAGTCTTCCAAGCCATCGGTCAAGGTGTTGAAGACAAGTCCTGGCCTTGAAGGCCTTGTGCCTTTGCGAGAACGACGAAGAAGAATGCTTCGGTCACAGACTTACTGTGAGATCCTTGACAGGTCGATTTTATGTCTGTTAGGTTGGAGGCCACCGCTACTAAGATGGAGGCCATCGCTGTTAGGTTGGAGGCCATCGATTTTATCTTCTTGCAGTCAAACTACGCTCGTGCGCCTTCTTAACATCAATGGGCCGCAAAGGCGAGGAAGCTGCTGGGTAGTGGAAGTACACCTAGTAGCAATGCCCTTTGTTACTAGTAGCGATGCCCTTTGCCCCTAGTAGCGTCCTTGCTCCTAGTGTCTGTTTCTGTTTCTGTTCTTTTTCTTTTGCCGTTTCTAAAGGTCTTTGGACAGTTCTTTTTCCGCTAACTTCTTGAAATCGGTAAAGTCGGCAAAGCGACTAACGAGCTTCGTCGTGAAGAGGGCGTCCTTTCTCGCACACGATGCAGAGGCGAGAGCAAAGTGCCATGTGATACGAGCTCCAAATAGTCCTGACTCGAAATGATCATTGGATTTGACTTTGAAACAGGGCAAAAACCGGCAGAAACCCGTTCCAAGAACAAAGTAAAACTTCCTGATCGTGCACCAAACCATTGAAGGATCTTGCGCCAAAGGCAAAACCAACGCAGTTGAAGCACAATCAGGTTGAACAGCACCGTTGAAATTCGACTTATTTAAATAGTAGGTTAACAGAGTCTTTGTTCAAGGCACTCCACCGTTGACGATGAGCGCGCCATCTTTGGACGCCACTGGATGGTATTCACCTGATGAAGTCACAAGAAGTCCCGGAGGAGCAATGAGCAGCCAACCATGTTGTGTCTAAGTAGGAGCAAGAACGCTACTAGGGGCTCCTGGCATCGCCACTAGGAGCAAGGACGACGCTACTAGGGGCTCCTGGCCTTCCTACTAGGAGCAAGGACGCTACTAGGAGCAAAGGGATTATGTTCATTTTGATCACCAAAAATGTTGTTGAAAGTGTGGCGGATATTCCAAGCTCGCTTTCTGGAAGAACAGCATGTGTTGTCTGTGCAAAATCCAGCTAAAACCCAGACAACACACCTCCAGAAAGGAGCTCTGACAGATCCTTTTTCCCTTTATTTGTTTGTCGTTCCTTCTTTAATCTCTTTCACCTTGCCTCCTTCCTTTCTTATTCATAAAGCATGCGTGCTTCTGGTACAGTAGTATGGCATAGTAAAATCACGACGAACTGGAAGTAGAGCTCAAAACGTAGTAAAGGGTCTTTCCATCTTTTCACCAAGCGGCCGTTTTGAAAGATCTCTAGCCCACCATCGTTGCTGTCTTGAGCAATGATGGTAAGAGAACCTCACAACGTTTGCGAGATCTCAAGGGGAAAGCTGTGCGCCCTTGAAACTGCAAAAGGTCAGAGATCGCGACCCCAATCGGTGTGATCAGAGCTCCAAAGCAGCTCGGCTGAAACTGGCGCTCGACCAGCACACCTGAACTTGCAAGTTGCGGCCGGCACCGGAAGAGATCGCGTTCGGACCAGCCTGTCTGTGGTCGGAAGATAATGAAAAACTCGAAATGCTTCCAGACCATCGCCACCCCCAGCGAAGAAAGCAGCATCCTTCGAAGCGAGAAGCGACTCATGAAAGGTCCATGTCTGTCCCAAAAAAACACAAGCAAGTCTGGACAAGGCACAATCAGTGAACCGGGTCAAACCGGTCTGTCGATTAGAATTTCCAAGGCAAAAACAGAAGGAAACAAACAAAACAAAACACTCATGAAGAAGAAATTGTCTAAACTTCCAAAAGCCAGTGCTGTTCCCTAATTATACCAGCGCGGGCCCAAACAGCTTAGTCGGCAAGAAAGAACTGGCGGCAGCTGCCTCGGAAAGCATAATAAACAGCACGACAGCAGTAGGACATAAGCAGGACAAGAGAGGACAAAAGGACGAGGGAAGGAAAGCAACACGACACCAAGAGCAAGCTGCAACCGGACAACGCCAAAAGGAAGACATGAGGGGAGCATGCCAAGGGGAGAAAGACAAGACGATGATGGGAGGAGTACGACCGCAGTTGCGGCCAATGGCGACCCAAGGAATGACAACAAGAAGGCAATAGAAGAAAATGAGGAGGACATCACAGGGTTCGCCGGCGCGGCCTGACACTGTGGTCAACTTCTATTAGGGGAGAATTCCACAAGAAGAGGACAACAGGAGGACACCCGGACACAGCGTTCACCAGCGCGGCCAGAGACTGTGGCCAGCCCTATTTCCTAATAGAGAACCACAATAGTAAACTGCTTGGGGAAAATCTAGTAACCATATGATCAGTACGAGTGCTACCCTGAGTCCTACCTAGAAGCTAACTCATGACTCCCCTACTTAATTACTGTAAGTAGGCGCCCATTCAATAAAGGAAAGAGGCAAGGCCACGGGCAAAAATAACTATGCCAGCGTAGGCCCCAAAAAGCTTAGTCAGCAGGAATCATCGTTGTAGTGGAAGTTTATATGTTGTTTGCCTCTTGGAGTGGTGCCTCTCTGTGCTCTGGGGTCCTTTGGGGTTGCAGCTGAGAACACCGCGCCTAATAGCTCCAGGAGCCGCTCTGGTTGAGCGGCCGTTGTTCGATTGGGGCTCGCGCAAAGCAACGGAATGACCAACCCAGCTTGCTTGCCGGCTCGGGCCACAAAAGAGCAAGCGGCGAGGTCCAGTCTTTGGAAGGTCGCCGGGCGATGGCGTTGAACCCCCTTAGCAAAGCTCGCTTTCCAGAAGTGTGGCGCACCATTCGTTACACAGCAAAATCTTTATGGAGCAAGTGTTGGAAACTCTTCTGACAATTGCAGCCGCTGCTCAAACTCAAAGCCATCGGCTTTGGGAAGGGCGAGGTATAGTGCTTGTCGACGGGAGCAACAACGAGGAAGATTCCTCGTAGCCAGAATTCTGCAATTCATGACAGCGCTGCGTTGCGCGCGCCAGACCCATGGCCGCCCCGAGGCGAGGAGCATCAGGAGGAGAAGAGGAGGACACAGGGTGGTTGGCCAGCGCCACAAGGACAAGAGGAGGACAAGGGGAGGACAAGACCCGGACACAGCGTTCAGGGCCACTGTGGCCAGCTCTCTTAGAAAACTAAGAGAGAACCCCGACATGAAAAACTGTTTGAGAAAAAATTGATAAAGAAAAGAACTTCTTTAGTCTTTTCTGGGCCTCGGGTGTTAAGATCTTCCGGCTTTGCGCCACTTCCGCCAGGCCGTCGGAGAGGCGCAGCGCCAGCAGCCGCAACTGCGCCGGCATGGCCTCCCAAAGCTCTGCTGCAACGACGTCTTCAAGACAAACGTGTTTCGTTCTTGCTCCTAGTAGTGTCCTCCGGCTCCTAGTAGTCAGAATGCTCCCAGTAGCGATGCCAGGAGCCCCTAGTAGCAATGCCCTTGCTCCTAATAGCGTGTCGTTTGTTCCATTCTTTTGTTCCACCTTTCTTGTTTCATCCTTCCTTTCTTTGCTTTTCTTATCTTCTTTAGACCTTTAGTGACCTTTTGACCTTTCTGTCTTTTCAATCATTGTGCTTGTAGAACCTTAAGCCTTGTTATGGTCCTTTCTTTCTTCCTTCCGTACTTTTTGTCGCCAGTAAGCCTTGCTACCAACAATGACAGCTTGTATGCAATACCTGTCACTACCCCTAGTGAAGAGACAGAGGGCAGTTAAGATCATGAGATTTGTCAAATGATGCAATCATGATATGCCGATGCAATTGATGCAATTCATGTCAAATGCAAAATCAGTACAACTGCCAAGTTGTCAAGAAAATGCATTTAGTTGTCTTGTCGCACCTCCAATGCAGCGACCTGATCCACTGGGAACTCCTTTGGAAGTCGATTTCTCGCCAGCCGTTCAGAGCGCTCCCCAGCTGCAAGGCTCACACCTTCCTGCAAAAACGACGTCTGCGTCTTCGGCGTCACGTCCCCAATTCTGAAGAACGCCCCGGAGCGTCCGATCGCTCCGTTCGTAGCGATGCAGCCCCTAATAGCTTCTTGTTACTACTAGTAAGGCACCTGTTACTACTAGCGATGCACTTGTTTCTACTAGCGATGCACTTGCTCCTAGTAGCTCCTAATAGCATCCTTTACTTCGTCCGGCCTTGCACTCAAAGCGGCTGGAACGCGTGCCCGACTCTGCGCCGACACCGAAGTAACCACGGACCACGGGAGCATCTACACTTGGTGGACCTGCAAAAAATGCACTAGGAACAAGTGCATCGCTACTAGTAACAAGGGCCTTACTGGTAGAAACAAGGCTCGCTACTAGGAACAAGTGCCACGCTAGTACTAATAGGTGCCTTACTAGTAGAAACAAAGGACGCGACTCGAAACAATAAGTCCTTAGACTTTAATTAGCAAAAAATGAAAAGCAACTCTGCGATGTTCGTTTTCTGCTCCCACGCTGCGCCTGCAGCCACCTGCAATTTCACATCTTCGGGCAAAGCGAAGAGTTGCCGGGCCGCCTCCAGGGCTTGGCCCCAAAGGCCTGACGATGAAGTTAGGAACAAGGACACTACTAGGGGCTCCTGGCAACGCTAGTAGTAACAAGGACGCTACTAGTAGCAAAGGGCATCGCTACTAGGAACAAGGACGCTACTAGGGGCTCCTGGCATCGCTAGTAGTAACAAGGACACTACTAGTAGCAAAGGGCATCGCTGCTAGGAACAAGGACGCTACTAGGGGCTCCTGGCCTTACTACTATGAACGAGGAAGCTACGTTCGTAGCGTCCGATCGCTCTTAGAAGGGATGCCCTTTGCTCCTGGTAGCGTCCTTGTTACTGGCAGTACGGCCAGGAGCTCCTAGTAGCGTTCTTGCTCCTAGTTGCCTGAAGAATATGCTTTATAAAGTGCAGATTGTGCCTGAGGACGAAGTTCCCAAGCCATGATTTGTCAAGAGAAAGGCAGACGACGTGCGCAGTGCGTCTAGCGCCCTTTCCTTCCAATGGCTCTTCTCCTTAGAAGTTGAAAGAACTGGCAAAAGAAGTTGAAAAAAAGAACAGCAAAGTTGGAAAAGGGATCTCGGATTCAAAGAAGACAAGTGGCCAGATCCACGACAGGCAGTTGGATTTCTGCCAGCGCCAAGCTGCTGCAAAGCAGCGCTACACAAAGAACATGCGAAGCCCATCGCATCGTGCCCAGGCCGGCAGGGCCGGTCTCATTCGAAAGTCCGGCAAGTCCTCCAGGAGCCCCGTTCGTAATGCCCTTTGCTACTAGTAGTGATGGCCTCCAACCTAGTAGCTTATTGCTACTAAATGCAAGACCTGCAGCACTGCATTCATCCTTACATCAATGAAGGAAGAGCCCAAAAGCTTATAAGCTGATGTTGTCCGTTTCTCTTGCACGTTGCGGGGACTTGTTATGTCAAAAGAAGTGAGACCAAATCTGCAACTTGGATGACCTTGAAGTGGACAAAGTCATTCATTTTGTGTTGTATCGAGTCGGCACTACTCATGAAATCAGTTGTGCGGTGTTCTCAAAGGTCTGAGACCTGAACCTTGCATCCTTGCATCAAACTCATCACGGATTCATGAGTAAGCGTGGACATAGCGATGGCATCCAATCTAATAGTAAGCTGTGGACATGTAAAAGTTGTCTTAAAAAATAGAAAAGTCAAATAAGTAGAGTCTACAACTTCCTCAGACTCGACGCTCGTTCTGGACTCTTTCGAGGCCATGGCTATTGTTGTAGTTGCAGTAGGTCACCAAACCAATTCGCCAGTCTCAGCAGTCTCAGTAACTTCGAAAACGCAACCTTTCCTTTCACCTAGACCTGTCTTTCTTCCTTCCTTTTGTACCCCTTTCTGCTGCCTACCGGATGCTTTCTTTCGGAAACCACACTAGAAAGGGGTCTACCCTAGTGGTGAAACCAAATGTTCCCCAATAATCCACAAAGATTGCGCTTGTGATGCCCCTGCCTGGCTGCTTGAAGCTTGGATCCTTAGAACAGCTCAGACAGCTCACACCTAGGAACAAAAAATACAAATAGCGACGGCCTCCAACCTAGTAGCTTCTTGTTACTAGTAGTAATGCCCTTTGCTACTAGTAGCGATGGCCTCCAACCTAAGAGCGATGGCCTCCTATTTGAGTCGGAAAAATCGGGCTTCGACTTGCTCGAGTAGTTCCCCAGGTCAGCGAAAAGAGGACTGAAAGTGCATTGCACATGAAAAAGACCGAAACTCTGTCTGGAAAACTGTTGCCAAAAGTGTATTTATCAGTCTTGTTTCAACTTGCAAAGCGTTGCTGTTCTAAGCACTACACACACAATGATCTTAGGGTTTAGGGTTGCTCGTTGCTCTTTAGAAGAACAAAACATTCCTTTCCCGCAGGATGCTTTCGCAAAGTGCAAATACAACCAAATCACTGCCCTTTTGCTTGTCTCAAAAGGGGTGAGTCAGTATGTCCGGACCTGAGACAGCTTGAGGAGTTTTTAACATTCCTTTAAAAGACTCAAACCGAGCTATCTCATTGCTGTAAAGAAAAACAATGATCAGAAATAAGAATGCGGCATGTTCATTAAAGGCCAAGACCCAATAATTAGTAGGCCTCAAAAGTCAACCAAGGAATGAGGGCCGCCCTGAGGGCTGAGGTCAAAGCGATGACATCGACGGCGCCAATGCTTGCCGCGCTCTTGGCAACTTGGTGCAGCTCCTGAACGGAGAATGGATAAGAAAAGGACGGATTCGTTCTTGTTCTCGCCTTATTCGTTTCCTTACTACTAGGAACAAGTGCATCGCTTCTAGTAACAAGTGCCTTACTAGTAGTAACAAGGTTCGCTACTAGGAACAATAAGCGCGATCATAGTAGCGAGGGTCCTCCCCCGGCGCAGAGAGGCTCAGGCGTAGTCAGTTGGTTTCAGAAATGACTGGGCTCAAGGATGTACTAGGAAGGGTAGGTAGCTCATAGTAAGAAGAAAAGCTACAAAGTAACGGGATAGGTGATAGTGTGCAGGGGAATGAACACTTTGACGAAGAGGTGTAAAAAATATCTGAAGGTCCACTGAAGAACTAGAAAAGGAAGTCTTCAAGTACCATTGCAGGGTTCTTTGTTTCGTCAAAGACTTCTATGATATTTCATGTGAGTGGCGGACACAACTTTTTGGGTTTGCCTCAGTGCCAAAGTACTTTGGGTTGGTCCCTATCGGTTGGAATGCGGACGTTCAGCCAAAAAAGCGCACCGGAAAAGGGTTGGCCGCCGCCGCCGCCCCTATGTTTTGCAAAGTGTTGACCAGTTCAGAAATACTTAAGGCGGCTCATGACTAAAGTACATATACCAGAAGTGTTGTCAGATGCTCATGTGGTCTTTGGACAAGTAGGCACAAGTGGGCAGGCCTTTACTTGGATCCCCAGAACCCAATACAGGTTCGGCATTGTCCTTGCGTGCGTTGGTAGATAGCACAAAGGCCTTCCTTGTAAAGAAGCTACAGTTGGCCAAAGATCTACAAGATCCCAGCGGTCGGCAGGGGCCCTCGGCTCAGCCATATTGCCGTAAGTGGCACTGGCAAGTTGGAAACGACAAACTTGGGCATGCGTCCTTGCTCCTAGTAGTAAGGCCAGGAGCCCCTAGTCGCGTCCTTGTTCCTATGAAGCATCTTGGATCCATTCTTCCTACAACTCACCACATGTGTTTCTGCTTCCTCAACGGTGCGGAGTTTTGCAGAGCGATGGCCTCCAACCTCTGGTGAAGCGGTCTTCAAGCAGTCGACGCAACTCAAAAGCCGGAAGGCACAGAAGTCGCCAGTATCGCATTGCGCCGTCCACATGTGCACCAGAAGGCCAGCATCTTCCAGCATGGCTACAACATCGCTTGAACTTTGAACATATCCTGGACAAAGTTCGTCTTCGCTATGCCAGGGGACATGGCCAGACTATACCTAATTGAGAAGTTGTAGACCTTTGCCTTCCACGGGTGAGGCTCACAACCTGAATTACAGCTATGGCCGCTATGGGCTGCAAGCTTTCATTCGGGGAGGAGTTTGGTCGCCTTTCACAGGCACTCGTCGGTGTGAATCGCCGACAGCACTTGTCCAAGCGGACGCAACAATGCTCCACGCACTAGTAACAAGGGCATCGCTACTAGGAACAAGGACGCTACTAGGGGCTCCTGGCCTTACTACTAGGAACAAGAAAGCTAAAAAAAAAAATCTAATAGCTTTTTGTTACTACTAGTAAGGCACTTGTTGCTAGAAGCGATGCACTTGTTTCTGCTAGCTTCTTGGCTGGACAAAAGAGGCCCAAACATCCCTCTTCATTCTGTCACTGTCGGTGTTTTTCTATGTCTTTTGTTAGTTAACTGATTCTATCAAACAACCTTTTTGAAAGGCTTTATGCAAAAGTTCCAAACTTACTCCTGTCTTTGCTCCTTTTCATAGTGAAAGAGCACATTTCAGACCTGAAGCCTGTTGCGCCTGTGTGGCCTTTCGGGCATCGCTTTATCAAATGTCTGTATTTCTATCCTTCCTTTTCTATCCAAACGAAAGAGCTTTGGACCTTTTTTTCTGTTCTCCTTTGTTTTGCAAGCTTTCTTTCTAGACTCGCTTTGCAATAAGGAAGCTGTACCTGTGAGGCACTAGCGATGCGTTGCATGTCTGTCCGCCTGGCGAAAGAACGTCTAATTCAGGCAAGGTGTTTAAAGAATACACAAGCATGGCAGGCTGGCCAGCGAGAGAAGCTAAACCAGGCTCCAAAGTCGTTGAACTGAAAAAGCATGAAAAGCTTCGACAAATGGAGGAGCCTGACCGAGGTGGACGAGAATGACACAGTCGAACACAGTGCTCCAGATATGTCCATGTGTGTTAGTTATGTCATAGTGCTCACAGTTGTACATGGTTTCCAAGTAAGCAAAACATGTTGGAGGCCATCGCTGGCTGGAGGCCATCGCTACTAGGGTGGAGGCCATGTACCACGTTTGCTCTCATTTGCCGCCCTTGCTCTTTTTCAGTCCTGAGGCCGCGTTGAATACAACGCTCGTTGAATAGCTGCACCTCAATCAATGCAGAGTCGATGTGTTTAGGTTAAAGAAAGAAGCCGCATTTCGAAGGCAGGGATGAACTCGTTCTTCCCGCAAGCATGATGGGATCGAGGCGATCCCAGCTGTATGCATTCAAGGGGCGCAATTAGCCCCAAATTAATATATATATATATATATCACAGCCCAACGTGTTGGGAGAATTCAGATTGGAGCACAGAGCTGATGTGGAAAGAAGATCGTGAATACGAGCGGGGTCCACATAGGGCAGACAGCGGGCAGAAGCGTAGACCACCGAATTGGCAATCGCACGGCCAGAATCCCAGGGGATATTCTTCAGCGCAGAAAGATTGGTTCATGGATACATACAGAGCTCGCAAGAGGAGAAGCTCGATGTAGTATTGTAGGTAGAGATACTAGTCCATAAATGTCGAAACAGCATGAATGTCTGTGTGTGTGTGTGTTTGTGTGCACAGAGCAGTAGACACCATCACTCTGCACTAACAAAGATGCTTGCATGCACCTGTGAAATGGATTCGGGATGCTTAATCCAAGTACCTATGAGAAGCTCTAGAGCAGCTAGAACAATCCAGTAGCCTCTGCATCTGGTCTGTGGGGCTCAACAAACACTCAGAAGTTTGGACTACACATCACAGAGATTGCACATCTTTGTATATAACATGCTAACTTGTATGACTCGCTGACTTTGAGACTGATTCTTGAGGGCCTTTTGTTAGTACGAGTAGTAGCTTCTTGTTCCTAGTAAGCGATGTCCTCCAACCTACTTGCGATGGCCTCCACCTAATAGCTTCCTTGTTACTACTAGCGATGCCAGGAGCCCCTAGTAGCGTCCTTGCTTCTAGTAGCGATGCCAGGAGCCCCTAGTAGCGTCCTTGCTCCCAGTAGCGATGCCAGGAGCCCCTAGTAGCGTCCTTGCTCCTAGTAGCGATGCCAGGAGCCCCTAGTAGCGATGCCCTTTGCTCCTAGTAGCCCGTACGCTGCGTGCAGCCGCCGCGTTTCTTGTCACATCTTGTCACCAAAGGCTCCGCACACACATCGATGCAAGCTCCTTAGGTGGTTTTGGCCGTTTTGGAGAACGGTTTCTGGCAAAGAAAAACTAGCAGAAACACACAAGTAAAAGCAACAAAGAAAACAAACAACACTCACTATCTGCTTTTCGTGGTCGCTCTCGTCCAACTCAACAGCTTGTGGTTTGTCCTGAAGCGCAGCACTGGTTCCAAGAGGGCAGCCCAGGGCTACCGTGGGATCAACCTGTCGCGCCATGAGTTCTGGAGACTTCTGTTTCTTCGTCCATTAGGTTGGAGGCCATTGCTACTAGGTTGGAGGCATCTGTCTTTTTTCTCCTGGAGACTTCTGGAGAGCATTCTGGCAGTCTTGGAGCCCGGCAATGCCAAAGGGCATCAAAACATCCTGGCGAGTCAATTGCATGCAAAAATGAATCCGTCCTCTCTTGAACAGAGTGAATGCGTTGAAACACTCTGTCCATTCTTTGATTTTGATAGCCATCTGATCACCTGTCTACCACATTCACCTCTAGTTCGTTGCAGCATTCTGTCATTGTTCAAGCAACTTTTGAGTTGAGAGTCTCAAGCCCCAAATCTAGAACACCATCACGTGCCAGCATGAGCGTGTTTTTGCAGAAACTCCTCCAGGGTGCTGCTCAGAACGATGAGGCGTTCTAGAGACGCTGCCTGGCACAAGGCTAGCAAGCTTAAGTAAGCCCTGTGGCACGGTGGAGGCCATCGCTACTAGGTTCGAGGCCATCGCTCTTAGGTTGGCCACACAGACCATGAAACGTCCAGAAGCCGTGACGTCGGGAGGTGACTGGCCTGTGGCTGAAGGTAAGCAGCCAGGTCGTTCCAAAGGTTGTCCTGTCGACAAGGTGACCTGAAAAACTAGAGGTTGCCTAAAGATATGAGTGAAAAACGGCACTGACAAGAGAATGTCACACGGCTTTTGGGCATGCAACGCAACCTTTCGGCCCTTTGCCTCGCCAGTCCCCACTTTGCAGTCCATCCTGGCTGCGTTTGATCTCAATACGGGGGCGATGGCCTCCCTCCTAGCGATGGCCTCCACCCTAATCAGTTGGTGACCGACTCCTTCAACTGGATACAGTTAACGACGAATCATTAGGTCATCCACCCAAGACCAAATGCCTTGTAGGAAATAGTGGAATCATGTGGAATAATTCACCGTCAAAAGAACACGTACATAACGGGTTGCAAAGGTAAGGTGGGGAGGAGAGGAGAAGGGCTAGAAGAGAGATGAGTTGGATTGCTCAAGCTGAGAAAGAAAAGGTGTTTGACCTTGCGGAAACGACAAACAACACTACACCAGGAGCTACTAGTAGCGTTCTTGTTACTAGTAGCGACTTGCTCCTAGTAGTACGGCCAGGAGCCCCGTTTGTAGCGATGCTGTTCCTAAAGGCCAAAGAGATGAGAGCGAGCATTCGTTCTCCGATTCTATCCTCACATCTTGTTTCCGTGTCAAAGGACTCAACCGAAAACTGAATGTCTGATGCAGCTGTTAAATCTAACAGATAATCGCAGGCGTTTTTTGAAACAACAAGCCTGAGGAGAGGGGATAAAAGAGAAGAGAAGAGAAGAGAAGAGGAGACCCAGCTTCCTTGGTCGAGGATGGTGATGTCACCCTTTGACCCCCCCTGCTTGCTTGCTTTGACGAGGTTTGGTTTTTGCACTCAGATTGGCTGGTCGTGACTAACTGCCGAGACAAGGTGTAAAAGACCTGACATATCGACCTTGAGGTGGTCGAAAATAGTTGACCATGCGGGTGGTCTCATGAGGCTCAACACTTAGACTTGACCGTTGAAAACGCTATGCTTGACGGTGCATAGAAATCTAAAACACGTCGAAATCAGTTTGTCTTGTGAAGTGAAGTTTTCCTTGTACAGGAAAAGAAGCGTTTCCAGATAATCTTGTTACTAGTAGCTTCTTGTTACTACTAGTAAGGCACCTGTTACTACTAGCGTGGCACCTGTTACTACTAGCTTCTTGTTACTAGTAGTAAGGCACTTGTTGCTAGTAGCTTCTTGTTACTAATAAAAGAAGACTCGTCATTGAAACACTCCCCTGCTGGCGGTCGAGTACCTTTGTGACTTTCTGCTTGTGCGCTCAGATTATGAGCAAAACATAGCAGCAAATACAGGTGCGTGTTTAAGCACTAACATGAGATGATGAAGTGATTGAACGCACGTTTCAGTGAAACAACCATGTGCTGCATATATCCCTGCTCGACGTGAGCGCGCACACCCACGCACACACCAAAAGCCAAACCCGACCACATTAGGGATAAAGCTATGACTCATAACCCAAAAGAAATGTGCAAAAAGAAAGCTTCAATTGGCCAAGCTACTTGATTGTGTATTGAAGCTAGTCGCTATTCTTTTCACCACATAGTAGCCTTGTGCACGTCATAAGGAAGAATTCAACCTGAAGAATTCAAAACAAGATTGGAAAGACTTTGTTTCTAATAGCTTCTTGTTACTACTAGTAAGGCACTTGTTACTAGTAGCGATGCACTTGTTTCTAATAGCAAGCATTCTTACTACATTGGACCGGAAAGACTTTGTGAAGACTCCGCACCATCCGACCCAGCGGCGCCTTTCCACAAAATAGCGAAAAATCCAGACGCTCTCCTGTATGACTCACACCAAGGATTGCTCAGGAGCTCACTTCTGTTTTTGCTTCTACAACTCCTTTGATAGGAAGGTGTTGGTGCCTTTCTTGTGCAATCGGAAAGTCTCCGATCTCCTGTGCTGCACTTCTCGAGGGCCATGCCAGCCACAAAAGCCACATGCGGCACACATGGCTCGAAGAAACCATATGAAACGATGGTAACTATAAGCGCTACAAGATTGAAAACGAATGCGAACTTATCCACCTTCCTTCACAACCTAATAGCGATGGCCTCCAACCTAATGGCTTCCAAACGCACGACCGAGGCCCAACACTGACTGGGGCGGTGTGAGAAGACCGACGACTTGGAATACTTGCTTTGTCGATAGATGCGGCATTGACATGTGTCGTTTGATAGCCTCTAGTAGCGTCCTTGCTCCTAGTAGCGATGCCAGGAGCCCCTAGTAGCGTCCTTGCTGCTAGTAGTAAGGCCAGGAGCCCCTAGTAGCGTCAAATGTAATTCTTTCTTGTACTTGTTTGAAGGTGAAACACGGGATATCAAAACTTGCACGCTCTCTTTCCTCTTCTTTTTGCTGAAAATCAACAGAGGCCTGCATTGTTCTTTTGGATTCCAAACTGCCTGCTATTTCAAATCGGAGATGCCTCAAGCTCAGGCTTTGATACAAATGGTGCAGACACAACAAACATTTCTGTGACGCTAGTGTGATTTGGCAAAGACCAAACACCAGTAACTGAATAAATGTTGCTGACACAACTGCAAGGCAAAGGAAGGCAACGCAAGGCAACAATATCCAAGAACTCTTGATAACACTATTGATGACCTTTCTCCAAACATCTAAGGAGCAAAATCTTCAAAGCAACGGTCTCTATTTTCGATCCATTGTCAAGGAGAAAAGCGCAGCCAAACGACTGACTGAGTTCGGTGCCACTTGTGGCAGCAGAAACTGAGAAAAATCCCCAACGATGGAGGAAAGAGATGGAAGCGACTGTAAGATCAGTTTGTCGCTGTAAGATCTGAAAGGGACTGGTTCGACAATGATTGATTAGCCAGAAGCTCCGAGTAGCAAGGTGCTTTAGTCTCGTTTCTCTAGGCATACGAACAGTACTCAAATCAAGATCAGTTTACCGCTGTGCCTTGGCAGTATCAAAATTAGATTTCAATCTGAGCATGTACTGCTCTTTGTTGATCTTGTTCCGACCCTCCCTTCGGCGTCAACAAATCATTAAACCGGCAATTGTCACTGCAAAAGTGCAACCTTCATTCATACAGTCTACATCTTTGTCTTCTCCGGCTTCTCCCTCTCTCTCTCTCTCTCTCCAATTAATCATTATCTAACTAGCCATGCCACACCAGTGATCTACTCTCCAAGAACTTCCGGCTTTGGATCTGCTCTCCCTCTCCACGTTCTGTCTGCTTCCAAGCTGTTCCACTGCGAGGCACGCATTTGCTTCGAAGCGACGAGATGCGTCTCATCGAAGAAGCACATGCTCTTCGTCGTACGTCACGAACCCTGCGGCCTTCGGTCGCAGATTCGAGATGTTTAACTTTAACGGCCAATGTGCGATGTTTTTTGTTCGAGATCGTGTTTCAGCGCCGTTTTTTTCTTTTCTGTGTCGCCTTCTTTTGGAGAAAAAGACTTTCCGACAACCCGTTGTGACAAAAACAAGATGTTTCTTTCACACATGGCCAATGGCAATGAACCTTTAGCCCCCCAGTTGGGAAGACAAGTTCACCATAAGTGTCAGGCATCTCTGCGAGAATGCAGGGCAAGAAGTTGACATCTTCAGCATCTTTGAAAGCAAAAAAGGTGCAAAGAAAAGACATGTTCACATCAGATTTGCCAGGATTGCTCTTCGGACTGTGCTTGGTGACTCTTTCACGGCAAATCCAATTGCCGGCCTTTGCCAGGCTCTTTGCTTGGTTGGCACTTTGGAAACGCTACTAGGGGCTCCTGGCCTCGCTACTAGCAGCAAGGGCATCGCTACTAGATGCTACTAGGGGCTCCTGGCCTTACTAGGAGCTGGAAGCTACTGGGTTGGAGGCCGCTATTCGATGTGAAACGGCCAAAGTGCCCGCCACACTGGGCAATGAGGGTCTAAGCTTCAGCAAATGCCTCGCCTGCACACCTGACAAGGCAAGTGAATGTGAAATGCTTGTCACTTCAGAAAACGATCCGTCAAATGCTGCGCTGCTTTCACTAGTTTAAAGCGTTTGTCAAATGTTCACCTGTCAAGAGCGCCTCAGTCAAGTTCCTGTTTGCGCGGTGCGAAGAAGCAACACCGGATCCACTCTGAGATGCGCCTCAGACACACTCAGGGAGATGCAAAAAGCAGTCGATCTATGTTAACTGGTTTGAAACTGTGACCGAAATTCATGATAACATCTTCGATATGCGTGTCTTCCATGTGTCTCTGTGGCATCACCGACTTCATCGTTTCGGGATGGAAGCCCATGCCTCCATGGGCTCCGTTTAAAGCGGCCTATCCAAATGCGTGAAAGCGTGCAAAACAAGAAAAATACACAAAAACAGCAAAACATATCGAATACCGAAAGAAAGATTCGAATGGTTTTCATCCCCGACGTGAACGACGTCCATTCCGATGTGTTACCTACAGCCACTGAAGAAGCTGTTTGGACCAATTCAATAAGGGCCCTTTGAAGGAGCCGCTATACCGACCCAAGTCCATCTTTTATCCATCTCTTAGACTTCTTCTTTCAGCCTGCCCCTAGTAGCGATGCCCTTGCTCCTACTGGAGCAGCAATGCCTTTCCCTTTTGTACTGTCCTCCTGTGCCGCCTCTAGCTGCTACTAGCTTCAGTTCCCTGTGGCAGCTTGAGAGCTGATAGGCTGATGGCTGCTTTGCACTTGCTCTTTTCTTTTCTCTCGGTTTTCGGTGCGCAGACTGTGTCGTTGAGCTGGTTTGAGCTTTCACAACGGGTGCCATGTGCCCAAGGCGATGTGCCATGTGCCTGGGCGTCACTGGAACGATATTTGCCATTCGCTCCTTTCCTGCTCTCCTTCTGGATCTTTTGGACTGGTGCCTTATGGTCGACGTTTAACACGTTTGTTGAGCACTCCATTACCTTTGCTGTGCCTTTTGCGCAGTAGGCGGCTGTTTTACACCTCTTTTTCAGTGGAATGGCACTGCCTTTGCAATGCCTGCCTCGTCTCGTCGTTCTCAATGTGGATAGCGTGTTGTGATTGCTCGGTTGCAGTCTCTTATTGGTGCCAATGCTAACGCCAAAGCTTAAGTCACCAATGCTTTGCTCAGAATTTTGTTTGTGGAGCGTGGCTTTTCCCGTTTGATGTCGCATTGGGCCGTTTGTTTCTTTGGCCATCGGGCCCTTTGCAAGGCCGGGACCTAAAGCATGATCCTTTCTGCAGAAAGCGTGTCGTGTTAAGCCTAGCAAAAATAACGCAAGCATCCTTCTACCTTGTGGCGGTCTTGTTGGACTGCACTCAAACATCAGACTCATTAGACCGAAGAAACTGCAAGAATCCAAATGCTCAATATATGTACATATGCTTTCTCATTATTTAAATACCTATATGTGGGCCTTGCCTGCCCGATTTCATCTCGTTCTTTTGACAATATGCTTGATCTCGCCCAACCTGATTGGGCTTGCTGTCGCCATGCCCTGAAGATCTTCTGGGGTGTGACTCCTTAGATCGACGCTTGTTCTGTTCTCTTCGCAAATAGGAATGGCCAACCTAGTAGCGTCCTTGTTCCTAGTAGTAAGGCCAGGAGCCCCTAGTAGCGTCCTTGCTCCTAGTAGCGATGCCAGGAGCCCCTAGTAGCTTCTCGCTACTAGTAGTAATGCCCTTGTTGCTAGTAGCGATGCCCTTGTTACTAGGAGAGGGGAGCTACTAGTAGTAATGGCCTCCAACCTAGTAGCGATGGCCTCCACGTTCTATATACAGCGTGAGTTTCCGGAAAGAACATGTTGATACAGTGCCCTTGCATGTAATCACGTCCTTTCTACTATAGATCTTACTATATAACTACATCTACAGACTACGTACCTCCCAACCTATTCACAGCCTACCTCCCCCCAAACAAAAGGAATGTTGAATCCACAGGGGTAAACAGCAAAAATATCTTCATCAGAGCATCGGCTTGTTGCCAAATTGTTTACAGCTTGTTCTAGGCCACCTTGTAGGGAAAGCCGACTAATCTCCTCAATCATCTCTTCCTGTGCCACCCATCAGTCTGTTTTTGGTAGCTTCACACAAACTATGAGCTGCAAGCAATGTTGTTTGGGACTGAAATCTGAAACAAAAGCTGCTCTTTCACCAGTCAAATGGAAGCGGTGTGTCCTCATGCCAAAGGTCATCAAGCATGTGCCCCTCTTTTCCTGCAGGAAACAAACATCGACTGTGAGAGCCTCGTGTACCTACCTTATCCCTCTTATGCCCTGCCCTTCAATTGACTTCAGAGCTATCAACAGTGCTATCTTCAGCTTTTTGATCCGGTGTTATTTTCAGCTCCTGCTCGCAATGCACGCAATGCGTAGAGCCGGGCATAAAGACGCACATCTTGAATCAGGGGTGTCGTCTTGATCACCTGTCACGGTCAGAGACTCGGCAAAGCTGAAATAGAGCACAATAGGATTCGGAGTGGAGGTGGAATATGTGTGTTGAAGCGCAGCTAAAGGGTTTTAATATGCAATTAAACTAAAGACGGAAGATGTCAGAGCAAAATTGACCCTGCTCCTTCTCTGCTGCTTTCTCCTTTCCTGCTGGTCTGCTGCTCTGGGGATTTGCTCTCCTGCTCTGATCTGCTGCGCTCTGCTCTGCTGTTGTTCTGATCTGCTCTGAGTCACGAAAGGTAGCATCCTTGCTACTAGTAGCTACTTGCTCCTAGTAGTAAGGCCAGGAGCCCCAGTAGCGTCCTTGCTCCTAGTAGCGATGCCAGGAGCCCCTAGTAGCTGCTTGTTCCAATTGCTTATTGTGGGTATTGACAAGCCACTTGCATTGATTGTTGAGAGTAGGTCATGAGGCAATGGGCAACCGAACGGAGACATGATGCTCGCGAAAGAAACCATGATGCAGTTTGTCAGCTACAAGTTTCCTACTACAATAACTCACATGTTTTGACATAAATGTGTACACTTTTGGCCTAATTGGTGCACTATGTTGCTAGTGTACAGTACAGTAATATGTTGGGACAAGGTATGGTAGCAAAGCATGCGCATCGTGGTGGTTCATTGTTCAACAGCTCGAATACGGAAAAAAAGAAGACAAAATGATACAAAAAGGTCTTAAGAAAGAAAAACAAAAAAGTTTGTACCAGGGGTGGCATCTTGATCACCTGCCCCAGACTGCTCGTTTCGAAACCTTTCCAAGGTGTAACAATATGATATGTTGGAATCGACTCTCGAAGCAATGAAATAGAATTGAACAAATCTAAGTAACACTCGAAAGGACTCTCCAACATCATCACTCAAACTCTCTAAAATCTAGGAACCAAATCAGGGCTCAGATTCGCTCGCCTAGCTAGTAGGTTGGAGGACATCACTATTAGGTAGCTGTTTCCGTCTCTTTAGTATCTAGAAGCTATTAGGTTGGAGGCCATTGCTATTAGGGTGGAGACCATTACTACTAACAATAGAGCTTTTTTAGGTCTTTGAAGCTTTTTCGATGTTGTTTTCTTAGCAATGTCTTTTCTCTTTCGTTTTTGGAGGCCAGGACATCGTTCCTTGCCTCGCGGAAAGGGTCCACCGACACGAAGAGCAAATCGGAGACAATTCCATCGCCGGCCAAACGTCCTCTGTGAAACCAGAAAAGCCACATAGCCACCTGGAAGAGATGGGAAGAACTTCGTTTTCAAGCCAGGGTAGGCCGCTTGTTACTACTAGTAAGGCATTTGTTACTAGTAGCGATGCACTTGTTCCTAATAGCTTCTTGTTACTACTAGTAAGGCACTTGTTACTACTAGCGATGCACATAGCCACCTGGAAAAGATGGGAAGAACGCCCGCAGGGTAGGCCGCTGGAAGAGGCGTGGCTATAGTAGCTAAGTAGGATGCTACTAGTAACTGGATGCAGGATAGCTCACGCGTCTTCAAGGAAGCGCTCGCAGTAATGAATTGGTTTCTAGATCTTTGGGGGAGCTCAAGAATAAGTTTTGGTAAGCTAACCCAATAGCGATCGCCTCCAACCTATATAATAGCAATGGCCTTCAGCCTAATGGCGATGGCCTCCAGCCTACTAGCGATGGCCTCCAACCTAAGTTTTGGTAAGCTTTACAAGGAAAACAAATTGGCTCCTTGAATGAGAGTCCTTTACCTTCGTTCACCTCATTTCCAATGAACAACTACTGGCTAAGCTACTGTGCGAACCATGCTGGAAGCACAGGTGGGTCTCGCAAAGAATGAAGATGGAAAGAAAGACTTTTCTAGCATCTTGTTACTAGTAGTAAGAATGCTCCTAGTAGCGATGCCAGGAGCCCCTAGTAGCGTCCTTGCTCCTAGTAGTAAGGCCAGGAGCCCCTAGTAGCGAACATTGCTACTAGTGGAACAACAGTGGTTGCTCGCCACACCTCTGAGATGACACCACTGGTGATGAAACTGCAACTTCCTTCGAGCAAATTGTTCAAAGTCACCCAGTCCTCCAGACACGAAAGTCGCGAAAGGAATGCTTTTGTAGACGAACCGCAAGGCAAGCAATGACAAGTGTGACCAGGTGTCACCAGCAACAACAAGTAGTCAAAGTGGATGACGGAACACAGCAGAAAAAGATGCATGCAAAACACATTGTGAGAAAATCCTCATTCACTGGAAAGGGACGTGCATCTTTAAACGAAATCCGCCCACCGAACTACGCTCGTGTCCACAGTGACCAGTCTGTCCTCAGAGCTGGTCGGATCAAAGCTTTCATCGTCCACGAAAAGAGTGTAAGATAATTTGCCATGGCAGACAAAGTACATCCCCGTGCCTGGAAGCAAACAAAAAAGGCACACTAGGTGTCTTTTCAGCACCGCTTTCATGATATGTGTTCACAAGGTGTCTTTGTCTTAGTGTCTTCCGATCTCTTTGTCCATCATTTGTATCGGTGACTTGTCTGCGATTCATCTGCTTACACCAGTCGTCTTGTGTTTCCACACGCCTGGCAAGGCCCTGCGCAGATTAAATCTATTCGACAATTCAAGAACCAATCAATTCTGCGAGGGCTCCCTCAGAGAAGCCCCCCACCCTCAGACAGGGGGAACTGTAGCTACTCCCCGCTTAACCTACTAGCTACCACCTCTGACTCACTAATTGCAATGGCCACCACCCTAGTAGCGATGGCCTCCAACCAACTTCAGTCACTGGAGAGTCTGTTCTCAGCAAACAAGACTTGCTCAGCTAGCGCCCGGCACATGCTACCCTGCCGCGCCTTCCTCACCGCTGTTGAAGACTTCATGGCCTTTGTCCAAGGCTGGATATTAGGTTGGAGGCCATCGCTAGTAGGTTGGAGGCCATCACTAGGAGGTGGGAGGCCATCGCTAGTAGGTTGGAGGCCATCACTAGTAGGTGGGAGGCCATCGCTAGTAGGTTGGAGGA